ATTGGATAATGCTGGTTTGCACTCCACCTCCTTTTGGGAAAGTTTGTCAAACCATGAGAAGAGTGAGCAAGAGAGAGAAAAGGATTAAAAAAAAAAATTAATAAAATAATGGCATGGAGTCCCCCCCCCCCCAAAATCCATAACAGACCCTTATCTGAGCATGCAGATACCGCATGCCTTCAAAGATTTATTTCCTTTGTTGAATTGCTTGCTTGGTTCACACTAGATGCGATTTAAAATTGTGCTTTTTGTTGGCAATTTCACCATGTTTTCTGTAGATTTACCAATGAGTTATTGCGTTTTAAATTGTGTTTTGCATTGCGGTTTCTATTGTAGTCTATATGTGAAATCGCTACAAAATGCTGAAAAAAGTAGACAAGAACTACTTTTGAAATTGTGCTGCAGCAAATCGCTTACGTTAAGACACTCACATCCACATTCATTAGATCGGATATCAGGTACAATTTCAATTCCCAAATCGCACCTGAAATCGTGCACCCTGGATGCGACTTGGCATGCGATTTGCATGGCATGCGACTTGCAAATCATATGCCAAGTCGCACCCTATTGTCTGCTATTAGAGCAGTCACATGGGTACGTTTCCAACACTGATTTTTATAGTAGTACATGTACTACTTTTGTGGCGATTTGCATAGCTATCTGTGTCAGATGTCTTGCAAATCGTAAGGAAATCAGCATCTTCACTGTACGTCGCACAATTTCTAAATCGGCTTTGATGTGACCGGGTGTAAGGCCTTTTTATGTTTGATTTCCTGAGTGTTTTTCCGATTTATGGGAAATGCCGCATACTAGCAAAAGTGAATTGACATTTTCAGTATTGCATGCGAGATGTGGTCATGTGACTGCCTTAACTCATGCGATAATCTGGAGTGAATTGTGCTCATAGGGCCAAGAAATATTGCCAATAGGGTTCCCTTTCACATCCCTGTTCAATGTTCTGTTGTATGCTGCACAGGTTCACTTCACTGTGGCTTTCTTTCTGACTCTGATTTGTGGGGCCTGTATACCAAGGGTTACCGCAGGTGGGAAGAGGATTCATCAGGTGCAAACACTTTCTCTGACCAAATGAATGACAGTGGTGGGTGTGGCCTACCTTATATGCAAAGAGATGCAGTAGTGGCTGATCCTTGTTTTGCCTTGTACAGGCCCCACATTATTTCTTTGGGGGAGGAAGAGATATCCTGGTGAATTCTGTGGTCACGCTTGTTGGGGGGGAGGAAGAGATATTGTGGTGAATTGCCCCAGGCCACACTCACGCTGTGTTTGGGGGAGGAAGAGATATTGTGGTGAATTGCCCCAGGCCACACTCACGCTGTGTGGGGGGGAGGAAGAGATATTGTGGTGAATTGCCCCAGGCCACACTCGCGCTGAGTTTTGATGTGGGCTGTAAATGTTTTGCATGTTCTTCCTTCTAAGGTGTGTTTGTGTGTTATTGTACAATGATTGTGTTTATTATCTTTGCATTGTAATCCTAACACATGTCCATTGCTCTGCTCTTCCAAGTTTGCTTTATTTAGAATGAAATGCAGTTTTCAGACAAACCTGATGAGAAATGTATGTGTGGGGGATTTGGGGAGGTGGGAGGTGTTATTTTGGCACGTATGCATTTTTATATTGATATTTTGATCTGCAGCTTGTTTTGTGGATAGATAAGCCTACTATGTGATTTATATTAACTGTTTTTTTTCCTGCTGTAACCTGTGAAAGCACAGTTCATTAGAAGTATAGTCTTTTAGATTGTAAGCTCTTATGAGCAGGACCGTTCTATTTTAGCAACATCAATCCTGCTTTTTTTTTTTTTTTTCACCAAGAAATTGAATGTACCTACTTGTTGTTGCTGTCCAAATAAATGTGGAATGTGTATTTGATCAATAAACATTTGGACTATGTATTTTTGGGGGGATTATTCTATCACTAGAGGGGTCACCAGCAACCTCATTTAGAATACTGTGTCCAGTTCTGGAGACCTCACTTACATAAAGGTATTGATAAGATAGAACGAGTCCAGAGACGGGGAATACAAATAGTGATATCAGGAGAGACTTCAGGAACGTAACATGTCCAGTCTGGAGGAGAGAAGGGAAAGGGGAGACATGACTGAAACCTTTACATACAACAAGGGAGTGAATAAGGTTCAGGAGGGCAGATTTTCAATATGAAACCAAAATGAAGAACACGAGGACATGACCTCCAACTAACTGGAGGAAAGTTCACAACTAATCTCAGAAAGTATTATTTTACTGAAAGAGTAGTTGATGCTTGGAGTAAATTCCATTAGAGGTAGTGAGATAGTGACAAATCACAGAGATCATCACAATAGTACACAATGAATGGCTATGAATGAAAGTCATTCATTGTATACAACTGTCATGTGATCACTGTGATTGGTCATAGCAATCACATGGTACTGGGCTGGCCTGGTACAATGATCTGTCATCTGGTGGACACAGCAGGTGACATATCAAGATACAGCAGAGCCACTAGACTTGGAGGACTTCATATGATGTCCACCCAGGATGGGAGAGATCCCGCTCAGCTGTCATTCTGCTATAGGCCTGGTGGGAAGCAATTCATTACAGGGGACACTGTACAGGTTCTATATGTAGTCTCGGGGGTCCCTGTGGAAGTCCATGTGTGGACATTTCTACCTATGATAAATGACAGGCTAAACCCACCTGGAGACTTTCTCCACACCTGGAGTGTGCTGAGTTCTTGGAGAACGTCTACACAGTGTTTCCAGATTGGCTTTATCACCCCAACGAGCTCGCTCCAGTTCATGGATGTCATCATTATGTTTGGAGGATCTCACCAGTCAGGAGCCTTTCCTGTCATCCTACATGTTCCCTTCTGAGGATTGTTCTATCCTTCCAAACAAATGTATGAAATCATGGATGAGTCCTCCTTCTATGTGATCTAGAAGATCTTCAATCACAATGTCTTTATGGATGAAGTGGATGGCCCAGTTTATATATTATTTATTGCTTTACAGCTTTATTTCCCTCCAGGATTCATTATTTTTATTTTTAGAACCATTCAAGGAAGTGTTCTTACTTTGAGAGGATCTCCACCACCATTCCTCTGTGACCATTACATCCTTGTCATTTATGTCTAACATCTTCATTATCAGTGGATTGATAGAAATAGTTTTAGGCTTTAGGATGTATTTTTGACTATTTTTTTTACCCAAAAAGATCTGTTTTGGAGGTCTCCATGTATTTTGTTGTGTTTGTTTTTTAGGTGTCTGTGTGGGAGGAAAGACTTTTCTATCTGTAGTGGGAGGATATATTTGTTAAACAGTTGGTTGCATAAGAGTTAGGTTTATTTTTCTTACTTATTTTTTTAGTTCTTTTTGAATCTTCCCTGGTATCTCTGTAAGGTAGATACAATGCTGGAATGGTTATTAGGGGATGTTTCTTGGTGGGTTGCAGTTCTCTGAACTCCACAAGATGGGTGATCTCATTCTCCCCAGACAGGACTTCTCTATGGGGGAATACAGACAGGAAGTGATGTCAGGTACAGACAGTGAAGTGTGTCAGTGGGGGGAATCGTGCCCCAGGATTGGTGTCAGTGGGAGGAATCGTGCCCCATCATTGGTATCAGTGGCAGGACATTAGTGGTGGAGTGGCATTAGAGGAGTGGTAATAAGATGTTATTTCCTATTTACACCCCATCATTGGTGTCAGTGGAGGAATAGTGCCCCATCATTGGTGTCAGTCCGTCCTCTTCCTCCATAGTCACGTCCGTCTCTTGCCCCATCATTGGTGTCAGTGGGAGGAATAGTTCCCCCTCTTTGGTGTCGTGGGGGGGAATCGTGCCCCATCATTCCTGTCAGTAGAATAGTCCGTCCTCTTCTTCCATAGTCAGTGAATCCGTATCCCATCATCCTGGTAGTCAGTGGGGGGTCCTCTTCCTCCATCATTGGTGTCAGTCCTCTTCCTCCATAGTCCCTATCGTCCGGAGTCTTCCTCCATAGAATAGTGCCCCATCGTTTCCTCATGGGGTCCAGTGAATAGTCCTTCCCATCGTTGGTGTCTCTGGGGGGGGAGGAATAGTGCCCCATCATTGGTATGTCAGTGGGGGGGGAAGTGCCCCATCATATTTGTGTCGGTTCAGGAATAGTGCCCCATCATTGGTATCAGTGACACCAATGATGGGGCACTATTCCTACCAATGACACTTGCATGGCCCCTGTTCCAGTATGGTGCTGTATGCAGCCAGCATAAACAGTTGCAGCAGCACCTCTGAACGGCACACTTACTGGCCGCTCCACTTACACTCGATTTTCGTGGGGCTGCTCGGTTCCGCCTCTTCGCCGGTGATTGGCCGCCTGTGTGCCTTTCCTGAGCTACAGTTCTGGCGGCCATCTATCGGGGTGAGGAGGCAGAGCCGAGCAGCCGAAGCGAACATCCAGTGGCCGAACTGAATGAAGGAGCAGCAGCGCTTCCTGGATCGGATGTCGTAAGCCAGGTAAGAGACAGCAGCCCCTGCCCAGCCCTGTACCCAGTGCACCCCCTTGGAAAGGGGGGGGGGGGGTGGCGGCCATCGCGCCGCCCCCTAAAAAGTGTCAGTATGCCGTATACCGGCGTATAGGACGACCCCTGCTTCAGTTTTCAAGGGGTAAAAAGTTGTCTTATACGCCGGGAAAATACGGTACCTTTGTTTTTATCTTGTGTTCTGTGTCTTTTTAAGACTTTTTCTATCTGTAGTAAAATATATTTTTTAAACAGTTGGTTGCATAAGAGTTGGTTAACCGGTTTATTGTTTCTTACTTTTTTTAGTTTTTTTTTGCACTTCCCTGGTATCCTCTGTAAGGTAAATACAATGCAGGAATAGTTATTAGGGGACGTTTCGGGGCTGCAGTTCCTCTGAACTCCACAAGATGGTGATCTCATTTCCCCCAGACAAGATGGTCTCATGGAATACAGACAGGAAGTGATGTCAGGTACAGACAGGAAGTGATGTCAGGTACAGACAGGTACAGGACATTCCGAGAGGTGAGTTGGGAGGAAGCAGATGGAGAGACATTCCTGGACAGTGGCAGCAGAGGAGGTAATAAGATGTTATTTCCTATTTACACACCCAGTAACCCCCATCATGTCCGTCATCTCTTTCCCATAGTCACGTCCGTCCTCTTCCTCCATAGTCACGTCCGTCCTCTTCCTCCATAGTCACGTCCGTCCTCTTCCTCCATAGTCACGTCCGTCCTCTTCCTCCATAGTCACGTCCGTCCTCTTCCTCCATAGTCACGTCCGTCCTCTTCCTCCATAGTCACGTCCGTCCTCTTCCTCCATAGTCACGTCCGTCCTCTTCCTCCCATAGTCACGTCCGTCCTCTTCCTCCATAGTCACTGTGACGTCTTTTATCTCCAGCAGATGATGATACACACATATATAGTGTGGGAACCCAGATGAACCCCTTCAGGGGCAGAACATTCCCCCCCCGGGGCCGGAACATTCTCCTCATTGTGGAGATAAATTCTAGTAATATGGTCCTCTAAACAAACAGCACTGACAATAAATAGACAAGACAAGGACCATCCTGACCATACATGGCCTACAAAGGGCAATGATGACACTACACAGGCAGCCAATGGGCAATCATTACACTATGCAGCCAACACAATGATGGAGTGCCGGGGGTCAGGAGTATGGAGCATAGAGCCCCTTACATTGCTGCTCAGGAGGAAGGAAACATTCCCCAGCCGGCCATGAAGAATATGTTCCATCATTGGTGTCAGAGGGAGGGAACATACTGAGGGGTCTGAGGGAAGTAGAGGAGCTGAGGGTCTCTCTCAGGGGTACTCAGGGGACTTTGGGACTAAATTTCCCCTAAGGGGAGAGGGACTTTCAAGGCCTTTGAGGGGGTAGAGTAGCTGAAGGCAATCTGGGCTTGATAGGGGGTTTTAGCAGCTGAAGCAGGGCTCTGGGAAAGAAAAGGATAGCAGGTTGTGCAGGCTCAGCACTGGGCCTCTGGGAAAGGGTTTGTCAGGCTCAGGGGGACTTTAGGTAGGGAGCATTTACTTTACTTGGTCTCCTAACTCCTTACTCCAGACCTCCTTACAGAACTCCTACCAGGAAAGGAAGACAACCTTCACCTTCTTACCATTTCATCGATCATATATTATTTTCCAGTATACCAAGTGGAATGAAGGAGGGCAGTCCTTCCCCCTTGGTGGGCACTTGTTCTTAGAGGAGGTCTGTTGGTGCATTATCGACTAAAAGGTAGTCAGGGGTCAGTGCTGAACATCTTCAGGAGACACTCCAATACCTCCCATGACACAGGCTCTGGCAGTGCCCGGTGCTGGAATTCAGAGCCCCAGGAACCCACCACCACTCTGTACAATGTCCTGGATATTACAGTATACTTGGCAATGAAGAGAACTAACCCCTCCCTTATGTTGTTCTCCTCCTACCCACGATGGGCTGTCATTGGAGGGAAGAGAACAGACTCCTCCCCCACAGCTCTCTACTACACCAGTAGCATCCTCCTGCTATCCAATCCAATCCCTTCTCTTATTGCAGAGAGTGACAGTGACATCACTCCTGTCAGTCAGCAGGCTGCTAGAGATTGGAGCCTTGCAGTCAGAGTTCTGGCTATTAAAGTCAGCAACTCTGGCCAAAAGTCAGCAAGTTCCCCTTCCTGGACATCATGATGACCCGACATTGACCTCACAGCACTGCCTCAGAGCAAACAAGTCATAGGAAGGATCGTATTTATCATTCCTTGTCTGCAGATCTAAAACTCATAAAAACCAGTTCAGAGACCAAAAAACCCAACAGAGAAAAGGGGATTTCTGATCTGGCAGGTCAAGCAGGTCCCGGGACCTCCAAGATGTAGCAAAAATACTAAACAGTTCAGATTAAATGTGTCTCCCATGGGGGGAGTAGTTCTTCAATGTCCAGCAACCCTCCTATTCCCCCCTCACATCCACATCCTATTATTGTGTGACCAATACCATCCAAATCATTCTTACTTTCATTTCCCAAAGTTATCCGTCTACAAGGAGACCTGTATAGATCACATGATGGCACCAATGAGGATGGAGGACCGGAGTCACATGACTGAGAAGATACTAAACCTCACCCTGGAGATCATCTACCTGCTGACCGGAGAGGTGAGGAGGATTCTGGGAGGTCACATGACATCACTCTCATCTCTATTAATAAAACACAGACCTGACCGGAGAGGTGAGGAGGATTCTGGGAGGTCACATGACATCACTCTTATCTCTATTAATAAAAACACAGACCTGACGGAGAGGTGAGGAGGATTCTGGGAGGTCACATGACATCACTCTTATCTCTATTAATAAAACACAGACCTGAGGTGAGGAGGATTCTGGGAGGTCACATGACATCACTCTTATCTCTATTAATAAAACACAGACCTGACCGGAGAGGTGAGGAGGATTCTGGGAGGTCACATGATCTTATTAATAAAACACAGACCTGACCGGAGAGGTGAGGAGGATTCTGGGGGATGGTCACATGACATCACTCTGACATCACTCTTACTCTCTAGGAATTCTTAATAAAACACAGACCTGACCGGAGAGGTGAGGAGGGATTCTGGAGATTCTAACATGATATTCCTATTGGTTCCTCAATACAGAGATTTCCTCTTCTGAAGTCAGGTGATCATATGACCATCACAGTGCCTCCATGTGACTCCCTAAACCCTGAGAGACACAACATGCAGAAGATTCTAGAAGTCACCAAGAAGATGATGGAGCTGCTGACAGGAGAGGTGAGCGGTGCCGGGAATTCTGGGACATTCTCCAGTAACAGACAAGGGATGTGTCTGGATGGTGACTGTATCATTGTGTGTGTCAGGTTCCTATAAGGTGTCAGGGTGTCACTGTCTATTTCTCCATGGAGGAGTGGGAGTATTTAGAAGGACACAAGGATCTCTACAAGGACGTCATGATGGACAATCAGCAGACTTTCAGGAAGATTGTAAGGAAGGAATTTCCCCGGAATGAGACGATATTGAAGCTCACCCTGGAGATCCTCAGCCTGCTGACTGGGAGAGGTGAGTGTAATGAAGGGGTTAAATAAAGAAAAAATCCTCTTGTGCTGCCAAACCTAATATGATGAACTAAGAGTGTCTGCAAACACCAAACTGCGTTCCCACAACACTACAAAATAAATGGAGAGATAAATAGTGCTGCGCTACTCACTAAAGCTAACCATAAAGTAAACACCTGACAGAGCCCCTAACTAAGGTGATAGAAGTGCATACCTAGAGAATCACCAAACACAAGGGAAGGAAAAGATCCAAAAACAATGGATGTCCTGCTAGGCAACACCAAATGTGAGCAAACCAATGAGTGCAACTTCAACAAATGTGCAAATAGATAGTCTGAGTAATATATATCAAGGCATAAATAATAATATATATAACAAAGCACACAAAATATAAAGATAATAATATTCCATTAAACACCCGGCTGAGCCCTCAACACAGTGACAGTCTGTGAATAAATGTCTGTAAATGCAGGAAAAATCAAGATCTGTAATGCAGAAAAATCTTCAAATCAGCAGATATTCCACATGTGACTTGGAAGAATCCTCCACCAGCGAGCGTGCACGCTCCCCTCCCATTTTCATCTCGGAATATATGTAAAATGTGCTTTAATATCAACCCAAAATCCAACCAGCTCTCCTCTGTAAGTACTTTACTGGCTCCTCCAATTCCTCATCAGAAATCCGTGTTCAAAAAAAATCAGAGGACATCTCATAGTGTAATACTTCATGTTTAATGTATAAAAACCGGGTATAGAATACTCAAAATCGGGCCAGCAGACCCATACAAGCATTGGTAATAACATACACAGGAACAGGTGTACCAAGATGGCGGCCACCGTCTGACCGGAAATGATGTCATCACACTTTCTTCATTACATAATGAATCATGTGACTTCCTCAGGGACATGGATTCCTGATGGGGAATGGGAGGAGGAGCCAGTAAAGTACTTGCAGAGGAGAGCTGGTTGGATTTCAGGTTGATATTAAAGCACATTTGATCTATATATATGTTTTGGACTTGTTTTTTATTTTGTTTTTTTTGTCTGAGTATAGATCTATGTTTGTCCCAAGCATGTTTGATGATATTTGCTGTTGACTGGCTCACTACCTCTGCTGGAAGTTCACTCCAAGCATCAACTACTCTGTCAGTAAAATAATACTTTCTGAGATTAGTTGTGAACTTTCCTCCAGTTAGTTGGAGGTCATGTCCTCGTGTTCTTCATTTTGGTTTCATATTGAAAATCCTGCCCTCCTGAACCTTATTCACCCCCTTGTTGTATTTAAAGGTTTCAGTCATGTCTCCCCTTTCCCTTCTCTCCTCCAGACTGGACATGTTACGTTCCTGAAGTCTCTCCTGATATGTTCTATCCCCCCCAGACCTTTTCACCATTTTTGTTCCCCGTCTCTGGACTCGTTCTATCTTATCAATATCTTCATGTAAGTGAGGTCTCCAGAGCTGGACACAGTATTCTACATGAGGTCCAACTAAAGAATCTACTGTATATAGGGGAATCAGGACCTCCTCCTCCTCTTGCCGGTGACCCCTCTAGTGATATAAAGATCTATATAGGAATCTAGTGGATCCTTGAGGACCTCCTCCTCCTGCCGGTGACCCCTCTAGTGATGGATCTATATAAAGATCTATATATAAGGAATATAGAGGGACCTCCTTCCTCCTGCCGGTGACCCCTCTAGTGATATAAAGATCTATATAGAGGAATCGGGACCTCCTTCCTCCTGCCGGTGACCCCTCTAGTGATATAAAGATCTATATAGAGGAATCGGGACCTCCTTCCTCCTGCCGGTGACCCCTCTAGTGATATAAAGATCTATATAGAGGAATCAGGACCTCCTTCCCCTGCTCGGTGACCCCTCAGTGATAAAGATCTATATAGAGGAATCAGGACCTCCTTCCCCTGGTGACCCCTCTAGTGATATAAAGATCTATATAGAGGAATCAGGACCTCCTTCCTCCTGCCGGTGACCCCTCTAGTGATATATAAAGATCTATATAGAGGAATCGGGACCTCCTTCCTCCTGCTGGTGACCCCTCTAGTGATATAAAGATCTATATAGGAATCAGGACCTCCTTCCTCCTGCCAGACCCCTCTAGTGATATATATCTATATAGAGGAATCAGGACCTCCTTCCTCCTCCTGACCCCACTCCTACCACTCTCATCCCCCACAGCTAATAGAGGAATCAGGACCCTTCCTCCTCCTCCTGACCTAGTGATATAAAGATCTATATAGAGGAATCGGGACCTCCTTCCTCCTGCCGGTGACCCCTCTAGTGATATAAAGATCTATATAGAGGAATCGGGACCTCCTCCTCCCCTGCCGGTGACCCCTCTAGTGATATAAAGATCTATATAGAGGAATCGGGACCTCCTCCTCCTCCACAATATAAAGCGCTGAGACCCTCGCCGGTGCTATATAGTAATATAAAGATCTATATAGAGGAATCTGGGACCTCCTTCCTCCTTTTGTGGACCCCTCTAGTTATGCATTCTAGAATTCTATTTGCTTTCCCCACTGTTTGCTCATTTTGCAATCATCTGAAATAAGTACCCCCAAGTCCTTTTCCTCTGTAAGTGCAAGCCAACACTGTACCCCCATGTTGTTCACTCTCAAGGGATTATTTTTCCCTAGGTGCATTATGTTACATTTAGAAACATTGAACTGAAATTTTCACTTTTTTTTTTGACCAATCTTCCAGCAATGCCAAATCCTGTTCCATGTTACAGACACCTCCAGGGATATCCTCCCTATTACACACCTTTTGTCATCATCAGCAAAGAGACATCCCCTTACCCAACAACCCTTTAGTTCTATCCCTTACTTATAGATTACATAGAACAGGTCCCAGTACAGACCTTGGGGTACACCACTAGTGACTGCTCTCTGTTCTGAGTGAACCCCATTTACAACCACACTCTGGTATCTATCCTTTATCCAGCTGCACATCCACTGAACCCCCCAAGGGCTAAGTCCTAGCTTGTCCAACTTCTGTATTAGATCATTATGTGGAACTGTATCACATGCCTTGCTGGAAATCAAGATATTCTATGTCCACAGCACCACCCTGGTCCAAAACATTGGTAATATAGTAAAAAAAAATCCAATCAGATGAGTCTGCCATGGTCTGCCCTCAGTAAAGCCATGCTGCTTTGGATCCAGCAAGTTGTGTGTTTCTAGATGATCAATGATCCTTCCTTTCAGGAGTGATTCCATTAACTTGACTACCACCGATGTTAGACTCACTGGCCTGTAATTGCCGGCTTCTACCTTGCTGCCCTTCTTGTGGATCGGTACAATATTAGCTGTCCGCCAGTCATGGGGAACTTCTCCTGTTAGAAGAGATTGATTAAAAAGATCCATTACTGGTCCAACAACTAGACCTCGAAGTTCTCTGAGATCTCTGGGATGATCCATCAGGGCCCATTGATTTATTAATCTTTAACTGAGCCAGTTCCTCTGCTGCCTCTGTCTCCGGAAATCCTAAAAATGATCCATCATTACTGGAACCAATATGATTTCCCAACTTATTATTGTTAGTATAATTTATTTCTGAGAGACGGAACAAAAGTCATTGTTTAAGTGGTTTGCTACATCCAGGTCTCCCCCAACATAGGTGTTGTGCCCAGTTTTCATTTTAGTGATCCCATTGTATTTTTTCTATCACTAATGTACCTAAAAAATGTTTTATCTCCTTTCTTCATAGATTTAGCAATTTCCTCCTCTTTCTGTGCTTTGGCAGCGCTGATAATGTGTTTGGCCTCCTTTTGTCTATTTTTATACTCTTCTCTATCAGCTCCACCTCCTGTTTCCTTGAATCTCCTATATGATGATTTCTTTTCCTTTACTATCCTACTTCTTTCTTTAGTGAACCATATTGGTTTTCTCTTCTGTTTATTCTTACTAACTTGCCTGACATATAATCTAGTTGCCTCCAGGATGGTAGACTCTAACAGTGCCCACTGATTACTTACTCCGGTTGTTTTACTCCAACCTTTCAACTCATTTTTTAGAAATTTGCCCATTTCACCAAAATTTGTCTTTTGGAATCTAAATCTTTTGTTTTTGATTTTTAACTAGTAAGATGTAAGTGGGAGAGAACACAGGGTAGGGGGAAGGGGGGGGGGAGGCACCATTTCAGTGGGGCAAGGGGATGTTATAGCGGTATCTATTAACCATCAATGTATTGAGCAATTGGGATTTTTTAACCATCGAGACCATTGAATCGTAAATTTGTGGTAGGAGGAGTTGTGAAGGGCTATTCTTCTTTCCATCTCACATTGGAGGTTAAGGTCGGATATGAGGCGTGACAGAAGGTGTAAGGGACCGCCTGGCGGTACCACTAGCACTCCACTGGTCAGGTGCTTCCAGAGTGCCGAATCTAAGTCCCGGAGCACTTGTTCACCAGGGCCCCTGATGGTGGAGATGGACTTGGAGCGCACCGAGACCAGGTCGCGACTACTGGGCACACTCACCAATGGTAGAGGAGTCCGCCAAGGGCTCACGCAGAGTGAGAGCCTGTTATGAGGAGGTCGGGAGATCCCGACGGGATGGATGGCTGAGCAGGTGCGGGGTCAAACGAGCCGAGTCGGGAGCCGTGGGGTCTGCGAGGTACAAAACAGCGGGCAGAGAATAGTCGGGTCACACGCCAGGTCAGCAACAGTAAATCAGAACCAACAGGGGGCATCCAGGAGAGAGGTCA